GGGGACAGGCAGCTTCATGCTGTTTTTTTTTCTTTTAGCCAATCAGAAGAAGAAAGCCAAATCACACTACTTTCTGAAAAGCAGGTCTTATATATACTCCCTCAGTGTCCCTTCTGTGTCTTTTGTGGTGTTTGCAGGAAAGAAAAAGGCTTTGTCCAGTCTACAACATTCCTCTGTTGAAATTGTTCAACCCCCACACCCCAAACATATATTTTCCAAATTCCCATAGCTATACATCCCAGTCTATGACTGGGATGCAGATGTAACTTAGGACACTTCAGCATGGATTTTTGTCCCTTCAAGGACCCCCAAACCTGGCTTTCCCAGGCAGGGTGTCTAGACGCCATCCCAGTAACTACTGGGATGGCATCCACACACCCAGAAGCCCTCAAAATAAGTTCTTAAAATTTAAAACAACTAACCTGGCCTCCATTAAGGTACTCCTTGAGTCCTCCTAACACATAGAAATGATGTGCCAGGGCATGGAGAAAATCTCTCTCCCCCCCCCCCCTCTCCAATCTCCTGACATGTCATTTCTACCTGCTAGGAGGCAGGTCACCCTAGAGAAGTGGGGCATGATGTCCAGGAGCAAGGACAGAGCAGTTGGCAAGCTTCCCACTATGAGAAAGATCACCCAATGCCCGGGAGACATGCTGGCTCTCAATGACCAACCCTACATGATGGTGGAGCAAGAAGGGTTTCATTACTTGATGGCTCTGGTGGCTCCCCACTACAAGTCCCCTCATATATCACCTTCTCCAGAATGGTAGTGTTACCCCATGTCAGGACTGCAGGGAACATGTGGAGCACTTCTACCACAGCTTTGTGTCAAAGCTGGAAGACTGCTGCAGGATAGGCAGACTATAGAGGGGGTCCCACAATACAAGCTTTTGCAGGATGTCCGTATCCAATAGACCTTCACCTTCCTGATGTTCCAATGGCTGGTGGAACAGCAGAAGGTGATCCATGGACTTACCCTGGAATTGGAGGGTCTCAGCCCTGTGCAGATAACCCTGTCGAAGCATGACTGGGACTGCATCTCCCAGTTGATCTCTGTGCTCCATTCCTTCCTGGAGGCCACAGAGACCCTGAGTGCTTCATCAGCCCTTCTCAGTCACATGCTCTCTCTGGTGCAAAAAAGCAAGATCTATACAGAACAACGATTTTAGAAGGAAAGGCAGAAATAGCATGGGGGTGGGGAGATGAAAAACAATGGAATTTGGAAAACTGGAACAATTACCTGTTTGTTCAAATCCAATCAGACATTATAGCATGTACAGTTAGAGTGGATACAAGGAGGATAAAACGGAAGAAATTAAAGAGAAATGTGTGATGTATATGGAATTGATAGAAAGTAGTGAAGTCAATATAGATATTGTACAAAGATTAAGAAAATTGTGTTCATGGTTAAACATAAAGATGGAGAGGAAAATGTGGTAGGAGGATTGGGGTGGGGGTGGTGGAAGATGGGACAAATGTGAAAAGAATAATAACTTTGTAAAAGAGATGAATTGATAATATAGAAACACTCCATTACTTACAATATGTACATGCAAAAACTGTCTATTATCTATTCACAAATTGTGCTATCGTGTACTTAGTAAAAATATTTTTTATTATTATTAAAAGAACGGGACCCCTCTGAATCTTTATGAATTGAAGCAGGGGCCATCTGAATCTCTGGAATGAATTACTAATCAGATTTCAGCCATTTCACACACCTATAATGTGTCATTGTTTTTATGAATATGTAAATTTAAAATAATAAAAATATATAGAAAAAATCTATAAACGTTGCAAGCGTGTTTGGTGGGGACACGAGACAGGGCCTTTTCTGTGGTGGCCCCCTGACTCTGGAACCCTCCCCAAAGATCTTAGACAGGCCCCTACATTGGCAGTCTTTAGAAAGAACTTGAAGACCTGGCTGTTCCGATGTGCCTTCCCAGAATAGGAAATCTCCAATACCAAGTCCCATAAGCACTTTATTAGAACTAAGATTGCTGCACATCGCACTCTGCACTTGCCCTATAAGCCTTATATACCACCCGTCACATCAGCACTTTTAATCCTGTACCCATTACTCTGGCCCGGCCCAGTTTTATTGTGTCTTAGTGTATTGTTTATTGCTTGTTGTTTATATTGCTTTAATTGTTTTTAATTTGCCTTAGGTTTTGTATTGTTATATTGTGTGTTGAGGCCTTGGCCTTTGTAAGCCGCATCGAGTCCTTCGGGAGATGCTAGCGGGGTACAAATAAAGTTTAATAATAATAATAATAATAATAATAATAATAATACTCTTCAAACAAACTGAAATACCTCCCCCCACCCGGACGGACACACACTTACTTGTTGGAAATGACAATGAAATGTTGTTCATTACATAAAAATAAAACAAATAACATTATCAGTTCTGAAGTTATTTCAGAAAAGGCAGATTAGCCAAAACTCTATGCTTCAAAATGTATATACTTTAAATATATTCTTGACAAGAGTAACTTTTCCCAAGTGATTTATGACATTAAGAACACAAATTGAAGAAATAAAATATCAGCAATAAAACATTTTGTCCTAGTTTATGGTTTTAAATGCTTAACAAGGCCAAAATGATCACAAGAAAGAAGCAATTCCTGGGAACTAGGAATAGAAAGAGTCAGAAAATATCTCTGTCAGTATATGAAGTTCACAAGAGTGGGAAGGAGTAAGCATAGAGGTTCATCAAAAGACAAGGTGAGGTTCAAGTAAACAAAGAAACATTCTACTCAATGGCAAGTCAGAGCAAGGAGGATTCAAAACCACGGCCCATTGAATGTCCCAAGGTCAGTTGTGCAGAAGTACAGGGACAGCAAGAGCAGGGAATAAGTCAGGCTATATCTATATCTAGAGTGAGTGTGAGAGAGTACTAGCTAGTTGTCTGGTCTTCGTGTGTTTATATACAGCTGCATTCAAGAACTCCTTCATGCAACTGAAATTGAGGTAGACTGATTACTACTGAGTCAATCTCAGGTTCCAAGCACTTCATTTCAGTTCTGGAGTCCAGCCTCTTCAGACACTATTTCTTGCTAATTCTTGGGAAGCTTTTCACTCCCTGCTTCTCTGGGAAAGGTAGAACTTTCTGGAGTTCAAGGCTCAGCTTTAGCCTTCAATGGTTATAAAGGAAGGCTGGGGGTTCAAGTTTGATTTTATTATCTAATGCAGAGAGTGGTCTGTCATTCTGGATCCCATTCACATATTAGGAAGCTTACAATGCATACAGCCATAGCTTAATAGGATCTAAAATTGAAAGCAAATGCAAGGACAATCTTGTCCAACCCTTGCCATTCAGGAATACACTAAAGCTAAAGAACTTCTGAAAATCCAACCTTTGTTTAAAGACTTCCAAAGATTGAAAGTACACAATTTCCTTGGACAGTCTGTTCACTGTCACAAAGCTCTCACAGTTAAATACATTCCTCCCAATGTTTTGTGGAATTCTTTTTATCGTTATTTGCATCCATGAACTCAATTTCTGGAACAACAGAAAATGAAGATAACTCTATCTTCTACATGACATCCTGTCAGATATTTAAAGATGACAATTATGTCCCCTCTCAGTCTTCTTTTCTTCAAAGTAGAGTTAATGCTGACTTTAGCTCCTGTCTTCCAGGCTTCAGTTATCAGACTATACTTCCAAACTACTATGTTTGCTAAAGGTTTACCAAGACATATGAGGTGAACAATTATAACTATAAAAACAGTAAACTTTTTGAAAATGATATACCTTCCTCTTTCTTCTGTCAGCAATCTGACAAAAGAAAGTAAGGGGAGCTGAGGAGAACATGTTATATGTATTACCATCAATCTAAATGGCAAAATCCCACTTTTAAGATGTTGCCTTGCAGGTGATCAGGGCTATTATTGGTAACTTTTCTCTTTTAACCTCATAGATTCCCCCACCTGCCTAAGCTGTTTGATGGTGAGACTGATAGTTGGTGCATCTTGCCTCTGCTGCTGGCTTCAATTTTTCTGTTCTGAGCAAAACTTCTTGGTGCAGCCCTCAAAAGTGTTGATGATTTTCAAGCAGACATCTAATGATGTATCTTGATTTATTCCTGCTCAGTTATTGGTTGCAATGAAGACAGATAGTTGCAATCTCAGAGAAGTAGCAGACAATGACCTGGCTTTCTTGTGGTGTCAAACACCTTGCCTTCCATTTCTCCAATAAATAACAACAATAAATAGCAACAACTGAGGTCAGGAGAATAGATTTTGCCACCTAAAATATACAGGTCCCACTTATACTGACAATTTCATGTGGTTTCGAATCAGTTTTGAAGAAAATGGTTTCACTATGCAGATGATTACAAAGGAAATTCTGGAACCAGTTTGAGTCCTGGGTGATTATTATACAAACCCAAGAACACTTATGCACATTAAGGACTTTTTTCGCACATTTTCATGGGAGTTTGTTGTTGGCTGCCGCAGTTTGAAGATAGCTTTGAACTGAATTAAATGGCTAGTGTAGATGGGGCCACAGAGGCTCATTAAATAGTCACATGATTGAGAGAGGCAAACAGAAGATTAGGTTAGGCTATTCAGCAAGGCAAAGGGAAATTATGTGACTCAGCCAGCCAGACCAACTCAGATGACAATCAATCAACAGCTAGACCCACAGAAAGGTGACAGGAGAAAATAATTATTATGTAACTTTACGCAATCCTGCCCTTTAAAGTGAGGTGAGACCCTTGCGCTAGATTTCATGGTGAAGTTGTCCATAAGCAAATCCAAGTTCTCTCTCATTGCATTGTGCATATATGTTCATATTAGAGATAAACTGACTGACTCTTCACTTTTGGCATCCATATTCAAAGAGTTTCAAGTCTAATTTTTTACTCCAGAGCAGAATGAGGTTATTCTGTTCCAATCCAGATGTCATATGAATTGGGCCAAATTAGCCCAATCTGCATCATTATTCAGCATTCAGCCAAACTGGTTGCATATACCTAGTGTTTTCCAAGTCCAGCATCACTACTCAGCCTTTTGGCCGAGATCAAGTATAGTATGTGTTCTTATCAGTTTAATATCAGATATATCCTCTATTTGAAGACTATATATTAAATGAAAATATTGATGGGGTCAATTTATAATGCAAACTTCTATTACCTGAACCCAATGAGAAATTCAGTAACTTCCCTGAAGAGGGAATTATTCTCGTCTCCCTTGGAGGGACTTCTAAAGCTTGGGGCAGCTACAAGGAAACCCAATTTTGTGTCCCAGACAACCATGACAGTGAAGATGAGCATCTCCCATCATTTTGAATTGTACATGGTAACAGACTGGCAGCTGGTGGAGGATCCCTGTATCCTGTCTCAATTAAAAATCTGTCTGCAGCTGGTGTTTCCAAACACTCTTGAAAGGCAGTCCCATGTAATCCAACAGGGCATAACTAAGAAGTTTACCACTGTGGCACAATCATGTGTCTCCAGGAACAGGTGCAGTTGGCAGGTTACAGATCTGCAAAAGCAGTTTTTAGCAATACAGTTTTTAGCTATCAGGCTAAAAGTGAAATCCAGGAATACACCAAACCTGCATTTTAGTGAGAGAATAGGCCCACCCAGCATAGCTTGAATTTCTGCCATCTGATGAGGAGAGGAAAAGGGTATCAAAGGACCCTCTCTTGTCCCCTACATGTGATGAGAGGAGGAAGGAGGGCATGTGGAGTGCCACTCCACGCCCCTTCCCTTTCACCAGCAATTTTGGGCTGTGTGAAGAGATCCTAGATCTACTCTAACACCAAATGTCAGTGAAGTCAAATCTGGCCTTTAAACTTTCAATTTGAATATATAAAATAACAACACTTGGCAACAACAAAGGAAAGGGGGCAGAATCACAGAGCAGTCCATGAAATAACCTGGCAATTGTCTGGTGGATGTTGCCCATTTAGTTTCCATAATTACACAGGGAGTTGATGTTTCACAGTCTTTCCACATCATTGAGTTGACACAGGAGAGAGGTATGTGTGGTCCAGTTAATGAGAAGATATTCTCCAGGAAAACATGACATCATCTTTATTCTTATATCACTAACAAATTTTGGCAACTTTTAATGCATGAAATTAAATCAAAAACCAAAAACACATACACTATGGGAAGCTTCTGCAAGATAAATGAGGCCTTGATGATTTAGCCAACATTAGATTGGAAGGAAAGGATCTGAGCTCAAATGAACAAGAAGCTTCTGTTCCATAGCCAGGATATAAGGGCAGCTAAGCACAGGGAGGCATGCAAGATTGATATACATTTCTAAGCAGTGCCATTGATTGCAATGGATTTGGTACCCTCTATTAAACATGGATATAATAGCAAGTTTCAACTAGGCACTACACCTTCAAAAAGAACTTCTGTCTGTGCAGACCCATAAAAATGAATGGGGTTGTACATGGTTTATTTCCATTTAAGTGAGTCTTCTACAGGGGTTTCCAATAGGTCTGTGCCCAAAGTCCCTGAAGAAAGAATAGGAAAAAGTATTGATAAATGAGTTGCTGTAACTAAAAGGATTATTTTTAAATGGCATTTTCTAAGCTGTAATTATAATGCTGTATTTGTTGGTAGGTAAACATTGCAAAGATGAAGGGACGTGGAAGGAAGATACAGAACTTCCATTCTGCTGAATTCAGATTATTCTCTTTCTTTATCCATAATTAAATCAGTGTTGTCAGGGTTCTCCTTTAAAACACTGTTAAACCCCTCAGCCTTTTGAAAGAGAAATGTATATAAATTAAACCAGTTAGTGCAGGAGACAAAGTATTTGCATAGTGGCTCTCAGGTGTGGCTCCCAATGTTCCCAGAATCCTTAACCTTTGACCATTCTGTCTAAATATTTAGGAAATTAAAGCTGAACAATGTCTAACAATTTGGCTTTAGGACCTCCTGCTTGAATGAAATTATCTTTGCTGACAGAATCATTTTCAATACAATAAACATGGGAGATTCAGCTTGAAGGCCACACCACTTGGCAAGCAGGCCACTTTGCACCATGTTCTGATATAGCATATGCCTCTCCATCACTCCCCTACATCCGTTAGGCGATCCCTCATTGGCCAAGTAGGATAGTCTTCCAGGATCAGAATTCTTGTGGGTCCGTAGGTGGCTGTGGAGCCCTATTCTTGATCTGCATCTTTTTCCGCAGTGAGGGCATTGGTTTCCAGGTGGAAGGCGGTCCCGATCGGGGTGGGATTGATGCGCCTTCCTCTTGGCACGTTTCTCTCTTTCACCCTCCATTCGTGCCTCTTCAAATTCTGCAACACTGCTGGTCACAGCTGACCTCCAGCTGGAGCGCTCAAGAGCCAGGGCTCCAGTTCTCAGTGTCTATGCCAACGTGGCCGGTCCAGCAGAGTTGATGGTGGAGGAACATTGCTCCAATGCTAGTGGTCTTTGCTTCTTCCAGCATGCTGACATTTGTCCGCCTGTCGTCCCAAGAGATTTGCAGGATTTTCCGGAGGCACCGCTGATGGAATCGTTCCAGGAGTTGCATGTGATGTCTGTAGACAGTCCACGTTTCACAGGCATATAGCAGGGTTGGGAGGACAATAGCTTTCTAAACAAGCACCTTGGTATCCCTACGGATGTCCCGGTCCTCAAACACTCTCTGCTTCATTCGGAAAAATGCTGCACTCGCAGAGCTCAGGCGGTGTTGTATTTCGGTGTCGATGTTGACTTTGGTAGAGAGGTGGCTGCCAAGGTAGCAGAAATGGTCAACATTTTCTAATGTTACACCCTTAAGCTATATCTCTGGCATTGTAAAGGGGTTGGCTGGTGACTGCTGGAACAGCACTTTGGTTTTCTCGATGTTCAATGCCAGGCCTAGCTTCTCGTATGCTTCTGCAAAGGTGTTTAGAGTGGCTTGAAGATCTTCTTCTGAATGTGCACAGACAACGTCATCAGCATACTGAAGTTCAATAACAGATGTTGTTGTAACCTTGGTTTTGGCTTTCAGTCTGCTGAGGTTAAACAGCTTGCCATCTGTCCGGTAGATGATTTCCACTCCGGTGGGAAGCTTCCCATCAACAAGGTGAAGTATCATAGTGATGAAGATGGAGAATAAAGTTGGAGCAATAACACATCCCTGTTTGACACCTGATCCCACCTTAAATGGGTCACTTTGGGAGCCATTGATGTCCAAAACTGTTGCCATCATATCATCATGGAGGAGCCGCAGGATGTTCACAAATTTGTTAGGGCACCTGATTTTTTGGAGGATGGTCCAGAGAGCACTGTGATTCACTGTGTCAAATGCCTTTGCAAGGTCAATGAATACAGAGGTTGATTTTGTTCCCTGCATTTTTCTTGGAGGTGTCGTGCAGTGAAGATCATGTCCACTGTTCCTCTGGAGGGGCGGAAGCCATTCTGGGATTCTGGGAGGGTGTTTTCTGAGAGGGGCAGAAGGTGGTTTGCAAGGATTCTTGTGAGGATTTTCCCAGCTGAGGTTAGAAGGGAGATACCTCGATAGTTTCCGCAGTCTGTTCTTTCCCCTTTTTTGAAGAGGGTGATGATGGTAGCAACCTTGAAATCTGCTGGGATTTTCTTTGTCACCCACACTTTTTCTATGAGCCGGTGGAGATTTTGTGTCAGCTCAAGTCCTTCCTCTTTAAAGATTTCAGCAGGGATCCCATCACGTCCGCTGGCTTTGTTATTTCTTTGTTGGCTTATGGCATTGCTGATTTCTTCCAAACTAGGCAGTGCTGCAAGCTCATCCCTGGTTTGTTGTTGCGGGATTTGTGAGAGAACCCCTTTGGCCACATTGGAGCTGCGGTTCAGGAGGCTTTGGTAGTGTTTTTTCCAACGTAGTGCAATTGAGTTTTTGGTCCTTCAGGAGTTTGGTTCCATCTGATGAGCGGAGAGGCTGTATGTCATGGTTTCTTGGTCCATAGATTACCTTTGTGGCTTTGAAAAATCCCTGAGCATCATGGGTATCTGCCAGGTGTTGGATTTCTTCAGCCTTCTTTGTCCACCAGATGTTCTTGAGTTCTCTTGTCCTTCTTTGGACCTCAGCTTTTGCGCTAGCGTAGATCTTTTTCTTAGCAGCACAGTTGATGTCTCTGCCATGTTTGGAAGGCTTTCCTTTTCTTGTCAATTAGCTGTTGGATCTCATTGTCATTTTCGTCAAACCAATTTTGATGTTTCTTGGTTTGATATCCAATAGTTTCTTCGCAGGCTGTGATGATGGAGGTCTTCAGTTTGTTCCAATGTTCCTCAACATTTTCGGGGTGTTCTGTGGGTAGATGGTCCTTGAGTGCTGTTTGGAGAAGGGCTCGTCTGGAGGGCTCCTGAAGGGCTTGGGTGTTCATTTTGCACCTTGTCTTTCTTCCTTGGAGTCTGTGCTTGGGGGCAATCTTGATAGCCATTGTGGATCAGATTAGCCTGTGGTCTGTCCAGCAGTTGTCAGCACCTGTCATGACTCTTGTGAGGAGCACATCACAGTGGTCTCTGGCACGTGTGATTACATAGTCTAAGAGTTCCAATGCTTTGACCGGAGGTGCTTCCATGATGTCTTGAACTTGTTTTTCTGGCAGAAGAGCATGTTGGTGATGACAAGGTTGTGTTCCACACATTTGGTGAGAAGCAGGATGCCATTCAAGTTGCTGTTTCCAGGCCCGTCTTTTCCTATGGTCCCTGGCCACGGGTCGAAGTCGACTCTTGCATTAAAGTTCCCCAGGAGGATGATTTTGTCCTCCTTAGGTATCTCCGATAGGACGGTGTCCAGCTGACAGTAAAGTTTTTCCTTGATGTCTTCATCAGCATCTAGTATTGGTGCATAGGCACTTATGATGGTTGCCTGTTGGTTTTTGGTAAGATCAATTCGGAGGGTTGAGAGTCGTTCGTTGATGCCAGTGGGTGCTTTGGTCAGATGTTTCACCAGATAATTTCTGATAGCAAAGCCAACTCCGTCCATTCTTTGGTCTTCTTCGGGCAGTCCCTTCCAGAAGAAGGAGTAGCCTCCTTTTTCTTTCTTCAGCTGTCCCTCTCCTGCTCTCCGGGTCTCCTGAAGTGCTGCTATGTCGATGTTAAAACATCCCAGCTCCCTTGCAATGATAGCAGTTCTGCATTCGAAGCGTTCACTGTCAGTGTTGTCCATCAGTGTCCATACGTTCCATGTACTGAAGTTCATATTTCTTTTTTGGCCGCAGGGTGGTGACCCCTCTGGACGCAGC